CGTGTCAGCTGATCTTGACATCACTTCTTTCTAAATTTTAATCGCACATTAGCATGTCATTCGCATATAGCGAATGTTCACATTTCATAAGCAATAGGATACAAGAGTACTTTGATCCAAGTATCTGCAAAGTCCCAGTTATTCTCCGTTAGCAAATTAAAGTCGCTGTGAACGTTCTGTGCGCTTCAAATATGCAAGTGTCTCGAAAGACAACTGTGCTCCATTATTACTTAGGATATGTTACTTTGTCTCATATTCTAAAAAAAATTTTCTCTTTTTGATCAATGAATTAAGTATTGACATGTTTTGAACATCGTTTTTTCGAATAAGTCTTAAGGATGAAGAATAAAGAATAGCACGTCTTCTTCTTTTCTACGTCTTTGACGCATTTGAGATTATTCTTTCTGAGAATTCATGTGTCAGTGATAGAGTGCCGTATAAGTTTGTTCCGTAAATTCGACAACAAATTTTTTGTTTCAGCTACACCAGTGTTGCTGATAGTCTTTTCTACTGATGGAAAGTTTACAAGAAGACAGTATGAGTATGAGGCAATTTAAAAGTTATAACACTGGCAATCAATAATGCCAGCGCAGTCATTAATGCGGGCGCGATTAATTGTGTACCCACCAATGTCTGATATGTTGTGGTTCCTATCAGACCTGATATTCTTATAGCTGCTGCTATGAGTCCAAAACCGGTACACCTATAGAAACATATTAATAAATACTTTTTTTCAAAATAATTTTCAATTTTTTAATAATATCCTAAAGATTTTTACTTCTTTACCTTAAGTGTGTGGGGAAGCTCTCGACTGTCACCAAAGTTAATGATGTCCATCCAACGGCAAAAAGAGCTGTGAAGCCACCTTCGAAACCAAGCACTGCCGAACTGTTTTCGCGAATTAATATCAGACATAATGCAACAACGGAAGAGAAGAAAAGCGAGAGACCTATTGGTAAAAGAGAGTAAATGTCATAAATGAGTTAAAGTTAAAATTTTCCGCTTGCTATTTTCAAAGAAATTTAATAACTAACCAATTAATTTTGGCCGCTGAAGAACGGTAAGTGCCAAACCTGCTAGCGCAGCAGCAGGTACAAAAGCCAATTGAGCAACGAGATGAGCATGTAACGCTTCTTCGATATAAATGTTGTAATCGAGATCGAGAGTTGGACAGGATCCGCTTAAACTCAGCTCCGTGTTATTTTCCAATTTACATCTGGTGAAAACTTGTGCAGATAAATCTGTGTCAACGAATCTGTAACAAAGTGTATATATATATATTCGTACTTTATATTGATGAATATAAACATTTATTTAAAAATTTATAATGTATGTATAGATTTAGAATATAATATAAATGATGTTACTTACTTTGAATATATAATAACACTGTCTCTAAAGTGGGTTTTGCTAGACTTAATGCTACTGAATTCTACCGATTGGAAGGTACAATTGTCAAAATCGACATGGCTGAATATCATTTTAGTAAATCTGTGAACATTTAGAAATTGTATTTATATAGAAAAAAATACTTGTTAGTTTTTTGTATTTATGTATTTCGAAATAATATCCGTACTTGCAGTTTGAAAATGTAGAGTCTTTGTACTGACGATTTTCCCAAGAACCAGTAAACGTTGTACCATTGTGTTCCTGTTTTTGATAGTGTTGGGTATGATTCTTGTATTCCATCGCTCGTAAAAGTTTCAGATATTCAGGACACCATATCATAAGACCGTAAATACTGAACAAATACAAATAGAGTGAGTTTATAAAATTCTTGATTAACAGTAATTACTTAAAACTTTTAGATAATTAATTAATACTTACCTGAATGAAGCAGTGGTCCAGATAATTAACAGTACCAAAGTCACACGTAAATGAGGCGTCGCAAATAATTCCAGGAAAGAATTCCAGAACTATGGGCAAAGAATAAATTAAATTTTATAGTCAAGATATTTTTACATAATAAGATATCTTTCAGAAATATTTACCATTTCGATTGAATATATTATATCTGCCAAAACACTAGTGTGATTGCTAGGAGATGGTGGTGCCAAGCCGCGTGGTCTTTTAGTCGGAAGTTCAAGTTCAGAGAGTTGATATTGAGCACCTGTTGCACCTTTTCGGGCGTTATTTTTCTTGTATATCCTCTGAGACATAAATTATTGACAAATTTGAATATTAAATACCAAATAATTAATGTTATCGTTTATGTTGCACATCATTACCTGATAAACCATCATTGCTTCTACATCTCGACCAGCTTCTATAAGATACCTTGGACTTTCTGGTAGAAAGATAAGACCGAACGTGGAGCACAACGCCGGCAGACAACATAATAACAAGAAACGATGCCAAGCACTGAAATGTTCCTTATTCTCCAGGACAACCATTTCTCCAGTTGTGGGTACCACTGCCCAAGCCAAGAGTGCTGCGTAGACACCACCAAGTGCACATGCTGCCACGAGTATACCCGTCCAGCGACCTCTACTTAACCGTGGGCAGCATTCTGCGAGATATACAAATGCTAGAGGTACAGCTCCTCCTACTCTGTAATATAATAAATTAAATCACTATATAATAACAATATATTTAAATAACCACTTTAGTTTTTGCTTGAAAAAATACTGAATGTATTTAAATATTTGAATAAAAAAAATTACTTACCCAAGAGCAGAGCAAAATCTAGCGGTCATAAAAGTGCCATAAGTGGGCATAAATGTTGCGACACCACTGAACAGAGAGTGCACGGACATGGCTGAGAAAAGGGACCTCCGTCTTCCCAATCTATCTCCTAGACCACCCCAAAATAATCCACCCAAGGCAAGGCCAACAAGAGTAATATTTCCTAAAAAATTATGTTGTTTAGCATCACAAAATACGTTTGCACAAAAGCAACAACTCACCGAGCCATCCTTTCTCGTTGTCCTCGATGCAAAGTTCAACCTCTGCGCTTGGCAGTATGTATGGTACAACAAAAATTTCAACAGTGTCAGCAGCCAGACTCAAACCCGTGCAGAAAGCAGCAAATATTTGGAAATAACCAACACCAGCCTGTAACATTACATTACATTTCTTAATACAATTTTATACAGTAGAAGTTATCATGTGTTTTGCAGTTATATGATATTATTAAGTTAACATTTATGAGTAAAAATATAGAATGCACATATCATGTTTTTTTACTGTTGTAATGGATCGCACTAGAACATTCCTTCCTACTTATGTCACTGTTTAAGAACAAAGAGTGTACACTATTTCAGCTATAAAAAGACAGATCTATAATTCTTCAAGTGTTAGTTGAAAGATGCTTTCTTTTGAACTACAAATAAACAATAAATATATCATAATACGATCATTTTTAGTAAATATATTATTTAAGGTATTAGTTTCCTTTTACTCCATGGAACGTAACCTCCGATGAGTAACATCAAGTCAAAAATATTTACTGGAAAATCCTTCAAATAGCCCGGTACTTCGCGCGGTACGTATTTTGCCTTGACGACCGAATCGTCCAGAGTTTCGCCCATTTTTGCAGAGAGAGAAAGAGAGAGACGCTCTGACCCGTAAGAACAAAATCATTCACTTCGGGTAAACGAACGACGACGCCATTTTGTCTAGGTTATGTTTTTGTTCCGCCTGGTATATTTTTATATCGTACTCGACGTTGACAGAGCCAATCGAGCGATAATTCTCGATCACGATGATCGAGCAACTTGATCGATACTTGGATACGCCTCGTTTCGATAATGGTTCAGTGGTTGACTTCATCACGTTTGAAATGATCAGAAATGACTCATGGCTACTATCGTGAATACAGAGATAATGACGCGTTAATTATGCCAGGAAAATACGTTGCAGTTGCAACGAGAGAGTTAGGTAGGCAATCGGTAATTTTATTTTTCATGAATTAAAAAGATTTGCTGTCATCCTTGTTGAAGAAATTTAATACTGGAAGGTAGTTCCAGTATTACTTATTTTGATTAAAGATACTTGTTGCAACTAGCTGTTTTCCAGCAAGAGACGCATAATACTATATTTTATCCAGCAAGGACACAGTATATTATTAAATCCTTGTTTGTCAACGTTAAACAAGGATATAATGATTCATTGCATTACACTGTGTCCTTGCTGGAAAATGTTTATTCTTGTTGTTTGTCAATATTAAACAAAGATGAAATGATCACTATGTTTCTCGTTGCAAAGTACCAATTATTGTTCAGTGTTTTTAATACTAAAGTAATTAGTCATCTTTCAGTATTAAATTGGCTAGTACTCAGTACAGCACAGAAGCTTGCGGAACATTGTTGCAACATTTGCAATATTATTGCACTATCCTACTCTTCTAATCTTTTTGTTACTTTCTCTTTCTCTTCTTTGCCTTTCTCTTTATCTATTGATTTCTCTATCAATCCTCCTTAGCTCTCCTTTTTTCCATTCTTCCTTTCTATCTTTTTCATCTCTTCAATTTCTCTATTTTCTACTGCCGAAACATTGCAATATTGCTGTAATGATCTGTGCTATATGGGTATCAAATAGGCTATTATTGGATTTTTCTAAGAACAAATACAACATTCTAAAAATATTCCTGCTTTTATGAGTTAGGACTATAATTTACAAAAGAAAACGATGATGAGTCTTCTTAGAGGTTTCCCAAATTTAGAGATTTCGTTCCGAAGCAATGAAACATAAGCTGCATCACCTGCTTGATGGCGTCTTCGTGAAACTGCGCCAGGAGGGTCGCATCCGCGGTGGAGTCGATGAGATCATGCTCCGCGGAATCGGCCGAGGCCGAGTTTACGCCGGCCGTGGCGACGTTCGTCGGCTGCGTCGTCATCTCCTCAGTGTAGAGACCGGATCTAGTGTTCACGCCGCGCTCGCCGGCGCCCGTTTTCGTCGCACTGCCGCCGGAGGGTGCGAGGCCGCCCCCGCTGCCAACAAGCCACTGGCTTTCCTCCTCCGATGAGGGCATCACTGCCAGAAACCATCTGGAAGCAAGATTAACGGATAATGAAACAATGACTGAGCGCTGAACAGCTCTAATGCTTCGTTAATCCCATCCTCTGACGGTATCCTACCGGTACTGCTCGCAATAATTACACTTCCCATGTCTCTTAGGATAAATGGCTATCGTAGTTTTGCTATAATGTGTCTCTCCACTTCTCTATTCTAGATATTCTCGGCGAACTGAACTTGAAATCGTAATATCTACAATTATGGCAGATAGGTATGTTGTGTTCTGTATTAGTGCAGATAAGATAAAATGAGTGAATCGAGATAAAGGTAGGAACATTGAGTCAATATTGACGTTTAAAAGACAAAGCCGGAAGTTGAAATAATTAGAAGCGGTAAGTAATTTGCTAGAATAAGCTAATTTTCTTCGATAGAAGCATAGAGATGGAGGCTGTTTTATTTTATATATATATATATACAGCGCGCGTCATCGTGACTTTCGCGGCTGCTTTTTATTTCTATTCGCGACGCTTCGTTTGACTGACGCTATTGATATAACATTAAACGCGGTACTTTGCGTCGTGACGCAGCGTAAAAAACGATCCTCGGACAATATATTTAATAATATTATAACTGTATCTCACTAGAGCATTGTTAAACATTTTTACGGTACCGACTGATTGTAGATAGTCTTAATAGTAATATCTATTCGATTGATACATTGCAGTTGTATGGTTTATCACGCGCTGCACGTGCTTATAGAAAGGCATGCGTCACGTCTCTGTCTATAAACTCGGTTCACTGACCAAGGTTCATTGTGCACGATATTCGTCATAGTGACAAGAAATATTCAACATTCGCGACTTTATTTTGTGTCCGTGGTTGCGAGCCAACGATAAATGAATTTACATATTTAAGGCTTGGGAAGAGAAATGCATGTTATATTTACATATTGCGATAGTAATCAGCAGTCGGAGAATTACAACGTTCGAGAAAGATTGGTCTGAATAATGATTATAAATAGATTTACATATTTTCGTAAATAATTTTATATATTTTTTACAGGTAGTTTATGCGAAATTGTGTTCTTGGCAACTGCGGATTCTACGGTGAATCTACGGGCTTAATGTTGACCTTACTCGGCCGTCACAAAGCAACCGGAGCAGCGTTCGCGTGCACTTATTGTACTTTCGTGGCTATAATTCAACGTTTGTGAGCCCGCATTGAAACACGCGGCGGTCGTGTGTCCTACCAAGGCTGACTAATTCCCGGAATTGGTGCAAGACTTGCCGACAACGCGCGTAAACTTCTCTCTTTCGCGTGTCCTTACATACTAATTCATCGATCTGCATCGAACTTTACATGGCTTTCAGTATACCAGTATACACAAAGTTTGATGAAAACTGCAGAATATATAGAAGTAGATAGATCCGCGCGCATTTATGCGAAAGAATAGAAAGTTTTTCTTATGTTTTGGAAAAAAAATTGTAATTAAAAAATAATGCATATTATAGGAAGTTTCTCGTTAACGCTTCGCTGACCGCAGAACGACAAATGCTCGCCCTTATCAGTTTTATCTCGTGAAAAGGTGTAATATTACGTCAATGGTTCCCATCAGCTACGAGGAACAAAAAGACGCTCTACTACGTCAACGATCGCAAAAAAGATGTTAAAATTATATTCTTTCGTCTCTATGGCGATATTAGCTCTTTCGGAGCTCGTACATTAACGTTGCAGCGGTGTTCCGATTTCCGAGAATTTTCGCGTATGTAGTTTATAATTAGTACATTTCGCAAAACGTGTCGGCGCTTTGTTATGGGCGCGACCGCATATGTACACGATTTATCGATCCGAAACCGATTATACGGTTCTGTAGCGCGCGTAAACCCGTGTACACATTTTCCAAACAATACAAGCGCGAGCGCGAACACAAGCATACGCTAGTTGAGTGTGTGCGCATCCGCGTGTATGCACGTGCACGTGTCAACCTCGCGACCGCCAATGTCGTCGACAGTCACGGCCGCGCGGCGACTCGCTTTTTCGCAGTCCTCTATTTTCTCGCCGTTAGTTATTTCTGAAATGCGACCGTACAGTAGCGTCCGTCATCGGTAGACATTAGCGTTTTGCCTCTACTCGGCTTTACATACGAGAGCGTCTCTTATAGGAGAAATACTTTACTCACGGGGAACTGTCACAACTGTCCGGAACTGATTTGATTCTTTTTAAAATATGTTGTTAAACATATTTATTGTTTATTTTCTTGGCTCGTAGCTGTTCTTATTTTTATTGTTGTTATTTATATTGAGCCATTCTTCATTACATATATGTTGTTAAACACAAAATCTGAGAGACAGGTATTGTTTTACATTGGCTCAATATGAGACTTGAAGGATATACAACCCCTGAAAATTAGACTTATGCCCGTATTCATAGTCAGATCAGATCTTGTACTTAAGGCTTCCTTAAATTTATCTTTAAATGCTCAGCAGCCAATGAAATAATGTAGAGTATCTGAAGATAATGAGAAATGGGAATGTATTAGATTTTTTACAAATTTAAATACACAGTTATAAAGTATATAAAAACCATAAAAGTTTTGTCTGAAACACTTCTATATATCTCATTGTTTTTTTTTTTTAAATAATTAAGTAGAATCGAATGTAAGCGTTAGCTTTGAGAGTATTGGCGGATCCACAGAGAAGGGGCCATGCCTCCCTCTTGGAATCGTCTTTTTGAAAAATTTATAGCAAAATATTATATATATTTCTAATATTTCTGAAATGCTGAATTACATCTTCGATGTTCTAATAAATTTTTTTAAGTTAAGAAACTCCTGAGTATAAAAAAATATAGATTCCATTATATTATTCTTTTCTTGAGTTGAGATAATTTTAAATAAAATGTTTTATGATTTACACACAACTAAATAATACTTTTTCAATGTAATGCTAATAATAATTTAAGTATATTCTATCTTTTTATATTTGACTTTTTTTTTTAAATTTTGTTTGGACGCGCCAATATTTATAAATTTCAAATTGGACCAATATAATGTGTATCTTAAATTTTTGTTTAACAACATTTCAAAGAGAGTCGAATCGGTTCCGGATAGTTGCAACAGATCTCTTGTTGGTCTCTTAGACGCATCCATATTTTGGAGTCGATTTTTCTTTGATGTTTAAATTCTCAACGCTTTACATGCAAATAACAAAACCAGACATCTGATTTATATTAGGACGAGTTTATCTAGACAGAAATTTCATTCGAGATATTTACTTGCTAAAATATTCGACGTTGCAAATTGCAAGTCTCGACGAATGACGAATAACATCCTGCAACGTTTTCGCTAAGGAGATTGGCTCCGAATTGCATGCCAGAAATTTGTCTGCGACGTATAATTACACATGCGAGCGCAACATTTTATTATTTTATGTTGCAGGAATACAACTCTTGAAGACGTTTGCCTTGGAAGAATCTAGATAACAATTTTAAGAATGTTATGAGATATGATGTATCAATTTATATTTGCAACAAGTCAATTTATCATGATGTCAATGATGAGACAAGAAAAACATTCCGTAGTTAATTAATGCGAGATGGTCTTGCGTGTATTTGCCGACGCGCAGTTGTCTGGACTTGTACGATTGCATGCTCATTATCACCGTATTCGGCCGTATTATGCTGTCGACACATATGCGCCGCACGTGGGACCAACGCGATATGCATAGATAAGTACGACCGATGAACACGAGCCAAATAACGATGCGTTGTGTAGAGAGAAGCGAGACGTGCGATTTATAAAGCTTATTCTTGGACACAAGTGCGAGTTTATTCCAATTATCGCGCAAAACCAGTCGTCAAAAGAATTGCATATATCTATTAATTACTATAATAACTCGTTTCTTTCGATTGGAATTAATGTTGCTTGTAAACGGGAAACCAGATTGGAATAAGAGGTATAATCTGTTAACTGAGGCCTTCACGTTCAAACGGTTTTACAAAGTAGCGCAATTGTGTCAGCGCAATTTTTCATCAAACAGCGCTATTACAACATTAATGAAATGCCAAGATAACTTTCTAAATGTAATACATTTATTCTACACAAAGAAGGTCATATCCGGTCAAAGCTGATCTTAATAATCTTATAAATATTTTTGTGTGAATCTCAAGTCCATTCTATAATTGTGTAAGCGTTGTAAGTAGTTGATTTGTAATAATTGATTAATGATAATTCTCTTCATATTCCACTGTGATTTATCAATTGTTACAACTGTAATCACTAGATTGCGGATATTTATGCAAAATACTTAACTGAATATTAACCATCGGCCAGTTTTAGCGTTGTTCGTTAAAGAATTATTAAAAAGTAAAGTAAAGAGGTTCAGGTTGCCATCTGTAAATATGCAATTTATGCAAAATATGCATTTTATGCAAAATATTCAGTTAAGTATCTTGCATAAATATCTGCAGTCTACTTATCAATTCTTACAACTGTAATCACTTATAATTACACTTATAATTGTAGAATGGGCTTTATAATTTTCAAGTAAATTGCGCTTCGAGATTATTCGTCGGTTTTGAAACAGTTCTAAACGGAAGCTGGAGTATGTAATATCACAAATTAAATTGACAAGTAATTTAATGTTATTGATACTAATAGACATCTTTAAAGCACTTTAAAGAATTTACTGCGCAAAACAATCATCGAGATTCGAACTTGGCTCCTTCAAAATATTTATTACTTATTCCATCACTCAAACTTTATTCGAGGCCGATCTATCTTTTCGCGCGTCACGTCGTTTGGCCTTTTTCCTCTTTGCAGATAAAAGAGAAAAAAATGAGGAGAGATATAGAAAGTACAATCGAGAAAAATAGACGCATATATGTATGTCGTCATCGTAGTCGGGCGCGAATTAATATTATTAGAGCCGGTTATCATGACTCTCTTATCTCGCAATGCATAAATCACCCACCTGGTTGATAGGGAGTCGCCGTGAAATACTGCACCTTCCCAATGATAATGCCGTTTTTTCGTTCACAGATTTCACCGAGATGGAGAAAATCGGGCGCGCCAGCTCTCGTCGAGATTAACTGCTGTAGAACGTCGGGTTATCGATCAAGAGCATTGCCATTGAACGTAACGGTGAGGACTTCGGCACTTGTGAGTCCAACTCAGGAATGAGATAATAGCAGACTACTGTTTAATTCAGCAGCGTGCGACGCGGCGCACCTCCTCGCCAACACTCTGCCGTCGATCGTCCGTCATAGAGTCGTCCGCACCCCCGTTCTTACAATAATGTCAGCGTATGTCGTCGGCAGCACAAGTGCGAACGCAATCGAACGCGTGATATAATTTTACGTAACGATTCCGCAACGATTCCGTATGTAGACAGCTGGATAATCCGTCCAATTACTTCGACGTCTTGACGCGATTTAATCTCAATATTTACATAACGGATGATATAGACGAGGGAACGTATATTAAGTATTTCGAGGAGTGATTGCGTCTCTGTCTTTCAACACAAGTGGTATCTCGTTTCGTCGTTTCACCGCCGACCTACCTCAACGAGCGATCGCCACGGAGCTTCAAATATCACGTTCAATTTTCCGCGAGGCGAGTATCACACTCGGACACACTTGGACGCGTATCTCCCCGTTGTAAATGTACGTTTAGATACAACGGAATTTTTTTTATGAATTAATGCTCTTCCTCGTCGGAGGATGCGGCGCACCAGGGACCACCAAATGTCGAGCTCGCGTCCTGTCGCGTTTCGCGCGCCGTGTCCTCTCCTCGGGGATCGATTCTCGGTGGAGCGAGAGGCGGCGCCGTGCGGAACGCGGTGAATCGGTCGCGATGCGTCTTTCCGAATGAACGAGATTACAAAACGTTGCTGTCGGAAGCACAGACTTATCTCGCGTGATTTCTATATCGCGATAGTGTGCTGCGGGCATAACGGACGTACCGGTTGTTCCCGGTGGCAGCCCATGAAAAACAAACAACCCGGTAACATTTTCGCAGTACGAAGGAAACAACACTGCCGCCGCAAACACTGCCGTCGACACGCCGCCTGTGCCTCGTATCGATTTGCGTCGCGACGTCCGACGCGAGTCGTCGGTAGCGCCTTCGCCCCGACCGGAGTTTCCCCTGCGAATCATTAGTCCGATAATTACTATAACGAGATGGTTCCTAAACTCGAACAGGCTTTCCATGTGATTCTGGGTGAAATATTCTGTGAATATGTTTAATATTTCATGTACTTGAAAATATCAAAGAGGATGTATAATAACTTTTGAAAATTTTATTAAAAATTTAATGAAAAAAAAAAAAGAAAATGGTTTATGTATCTGATAAGTAACGGTGTGCCTTATATTTTTTGGATATTGTATATATATTATTTTAATATATTTAAATTATTTGTATTTTTGAACGCGTTGCTTAATTCTGAATATATACATGGAATTTTTATGATATATATAGATATGAAACCATATGCATACATATATTTTTATTGTATACTGGATTCATATAAGATGTATTTTCAACAAATGCTGCCGAAACAAATTCGGAAAACTGCAAGATTGCTTACTTACCGCTAATTGTTCTAAAAAGTCTATGAATGTTTTCTGGACAATATTTTAAAATGGTTTACATTAACATTTACAATTCCTTAAAATAATCCATATTATATATAT